CCCTTGGTGAAAAGCGAGGAGCAACACAGGGCCTGCATCTCTGGACCACAGCGCTGTGCGAACGACACGTGTGTGTGTTCACAGCTGGGCTACAGGGGCCTCGAGAAAAACAAAAAACAGAAGCTGGGGAGTCCAGAGCCCCAAAAGGCAGCTTTCTCCTTATCGCCCTCTTCTGGCTACTTCAAAAAGCTTGCCTTTCATATTCAAACCCACATGCGACCTCTGTGCTACAGAGCTCTTGTTCCCCCTACTGGTCACTCTGCTCAGAAGTCATTTCTTTCTTTTTATTTATTTATTTAAAATTAATTTTACGAGTGGGTCTCCCTGTGCAGCTGGCCTCGAACTCACTACATAGCACAGGCTGGCCTCAAACTCTCGGCGATCCTGCTGCCTCAGCTTCCAGTGCGCCGGGATTTCCATGGACCACAGGGAGCACCTCCAGTACCCAGAACAGCCCCTTCTGCCCCTTGGCTGTCCTCCTGTCCCCCAGATGATCAGGCACTGCTTGCAAAACTGACCTTGACACACCCCAACTTGACTCCCGGTCCCCTGACCCCCAGCCCCCTCTGCTGAGCTCCCAAACCTCTGGAGTAAGTAAGCATCAGCACCTGTTGCACCCCCTGCCCACGTGCCACCCCCAGCCCTGCCCACCCCCACCCGCCACTCAGGAAGGTCGCGCTGGCCTCAGGGACAAATTCCCGACTCTATTCTTAGTTGTCAACTGCCCTGACCCTGCGGCATTTGGCACCAGAAGCCTCTTTTCCCAGAGGCCAGCAGCCGGTGTCTGTGGCCAAGACCAGAGCTCTGCGAGGTGAGACATGTCCTCAGAGAGGGGACAGCTAGAGGGAGCATTTTAAAATGTTACCAGGCTGAGGAGAATGACCACAGGAACGTCACTGGATGGGTGGCTTGTCAAGTCTAGGACCCTGACATCACCCACTGTTCTACCCCCACCACCCCAGATCTCTCTGTAGCTCAAAGGGAAGCCGCCTGCATCAGGCAGTGGCTCCACAGCCAGGCCCGGGGACCGCAGAGCCCGAGATGCCCCAGGGTGTCTGGTAGCTTCTCCAGAGGCTGGGTGACCTGTGTGTTTTTCTCTGTTGGGGGTCAAACCCAGGGCCTTGGCTCAAGCTAGGCAAGCTCTCAGCCACTGCA